AGTACTCACAGTTGGGTGGGATCAACCCAAGCCCAGAAAATTCAAGGACTTTTCCCCAGTACTGGAAATCTGAACTTTGAACTGAACATCACATCCAGTGTCATACCAGTATGATCTGTCCTTTGCTTTTACCTTAACTTTCAAAACTTCTAGGGACGGAGCAATGACTTCTTTTGCCTATCTAATAATTTTCAGCACGACTCTGCCCATTTTAAATGCAATTCCTTCAGTTCTTTTGCTGCATCTGTGGTTTAGAAACATGATGCTTCAAGTATGTAAGAGATCCATGGTACATTTGAGCCATGTTCATCTGAGCCATGCAACCCCAAAGCTCAGCTAAATTCTTCATAACCTCCCTCCTGATTTCTAGGCTAAGCTAGAGAGTCCAAATAGCTTATTTTTCTCCTTGTGAGACCACCCATCCACATCCATGGGTGGTGGCAACCACCACCTTCCTAGATATGATCATGGAAAGGAGAAAAATAATATGCAACTGATTTCCCCACCATGAAGATGTAAATCAAGAGCAAATCCCCTGAAATCAATGCCATGGCTTCATATACATCGGAGAAGATCCATATTTTCCAAAAAAATAGCTTCTATGCTACCCACAAGGCTCTTGACTCCAGAAAACTCTCTGTCCCTCTTCCAGAAACCCCCACACCTCACTGAGCATGGGGAAAAACACCACTGGCCACAGGAGAAGAGGAGGAGCATGGCCCACCTCACATCCCACTGCCCTTGGCTTGGCCTCCCTGTTGTAGAGGAGGGATTCCATAAGGGTAGCAGTGGGGCAGGCAGCAGCAGGGTGGGGAAGGTGGAGATCCAACCAGGCTGGGGAATGCCAAGCACAAAGCATAACTCACATCCCAGTTACCACAGCAGCATCAGCTCCCAATAACTGCAGCAGCATTAGACTCACTACACTGGGTACCAGGAACCATTGATGCTCCTGCCACCTGGACCAGTCCGATAGATGATACATGCAACTGCATCAGGCTTTGTACATCCACCCTAGCAGATTCTGGCAAAAATAGGGTTTTTTTTGTTTTTTTACCTGAGCAATTAATTGCTTTTTCTATCATTTTTTGGCTGACTTGGTTCTTAACAACACATCTGAACATCCCAGAATTCCGCGTGTGTAATTCCAACCTTGTCCCATTCTTTTGGGTTTTTTTGCCTTTATCTTGACTCAGTTCTATTATAAATGTTTCGTCTTTAGTCTTCTGCTTCACTTCACACTTGACAGATATACTTTTATTCATGCATTCAGAAATGAGGATTGGCTGAGGGACAGGCTCTGAAATAGAAGAGAAGGGACAGGTATGTCTGAGATGGTTTCTCCTTTGGAAAACCTCCATTATTAAGCAGAACAGAGAATTAGCCCCCAATAAACCATAAGGAAGTAACACCAGAGAAGAATAAAGAGCAAATTAAACCTCTACTACAGAAGTAGCATGGCAATAATAAAGAAAATGCAGTATATTAACCTACATATTTGGCCTAGCAAAGCAGAGCTGGACTACTTGCAGGCTCAGCCGCAGGAGGAAGTTGTGTTTTTGGGGGGAGGTGGCTGATGGGAGGGACTCAGAGCCACAGCCCCTTCCCAATCCAGCTCCAATGTTTTGGTGCAAATAAAGTTGGCTCTGATCTGCCTGTGCCCAACAGGAGAGGTTTGCTCTAAGGTGGGGCAAACAGCTACTCATGATGCTTTATGGACTACCAAAGGCACTCAGCTGGCACGACAGACACAGCATGAAAACCCATCAGAACAGAAGAGAAAACACAAACCAGACACCTTGTAGCTCCCAATGAGGTTATCACAGAGAGAACTGATTTCTATCTCTTTTTATGTCCTTCAAACAGTCAAACACATTTCAGTTCCAGATTCTCAATCACTGGTGGCACCAAAAGGGCCAGGAAAGCCTGGGGAGCTTTCCTCAACTAGGAGCAACTGGCAGGGACATCAGAGGGAAAAAATGTAATTTCTACCTTTTAGACCAGGCAAACAAAACCATGCCAGGGCCACCTCTAGTCATAGGCAGAGTAAGTTATAAAAAGCATAAATTTTGAAGCCAATAAGGGTTGTTCATAGCAAATACAGTCTAAGTTCATGCTGTGACATCTGCAGCCACCCATCTGTTAAGCCCTCTCCTCTTCTGCAAGCTGTAAACTATCATTCAGGAGAACACCCCAGCATGAAACACTAGAGTCCAGGTCCTGGTGATGGAATGGTGTGAAGATACAGGCTGCCTGGAGAGGCTGGGGGGGTTCCTTTTCTTGGGATGGTTC